AGGTAGTTTTTCATTTATTGGGCGAAGGGCTGGAGCGCAATGGGTTTCTCGTGTGCTTTAATGGAGAAAGCATGTGGAAAGCGAAGGATTTATGGCCCCGCTGTTTACGTGTGAGTCTGAACAGCATATGTGCAAGCGGGCGGGGGGGGGGGGAGGAGAGGGTGTTGGAGCTGGCTGTTAAAACAATGGCTCTCATCTTCCGTGCCAGTCCAAGCTGCCTGCAAGAGGAAAGGGGGGACGTGAATTTTATTCCTCATGGGAATTTGAGGCACATGCATTCTCCCTCAGGGCCAACAGCAACTGCAAAGGTCTGGCTCATATAAGACTATATGGAAGCTTTATTCTTTGTAATGATGGAACTCCCTGCCTCTTGACATCAAGCGGCCACCTTCGCTGAACTTTTTTCGGCGCCAGGCAAGCCAGCCCAGGTGTTTAGGAAGCTGAGGTAATTTTAATGTGTTTTTAATATTCTAACTTTTTGTATGTTTTAAATTAGAGATGTTATTTTTTCCCCCCTGATTTTGTTGTTGTTTCTTTTCTGTTTGTTCTGTTTGTGTTCTTTTTGTTAACAAATCAATTTTCAAAGCAATTACAAGCAGGGTAGGACGGTGTGAAAGGGGACGATTCTCAACAAACACCACTGATTGGCACCGTTGCTTACCTTGTTCCCTTAGCTTTCCCAGGCCTGGACCGCCTGCATCACAGAACCATAGAATCGCAGAGTTGAAAGGGACCCCGCAGGGTCATCCAGTCCACCCCCACCTCCGCTACAGTGCAGGAATCTCAGCTAAAGCATCCCTGACAAACAGCCCCCCAACCTCTGCTCCACCACCTCCCCAGGGAATCTGTTCCAGTTTCAAATGGCTCTTCCCATCAGAAAGTTCTTCCTGGTGTTTTTCTTTCCATTTTAATTTTTTTATATACAATTTTAAGCACTGTATAACAAGCCTCTTCTAAAGCCACCCTGCAGGAGGGAGTTCCACAGATCATTACAAAACGGTCTGGAAACCAGGCCCTATGAGGAACAGAGGAGGAAGTTGGGTATGTTTAGCCCGGAGATACGATAGCCAGCTTCAAATATTTCATGGAAAGCGTGTTCTCCCTAACAGAGAGCACGTGTTGCGGTTGGGGAACAGGCCGCCCTGGCATGACTAGGCAAATTGATCTGCAACCCTAGCCTTAAGGGTTAATTGGGTTGCTGGGGAATTTTGATTGTTACCAATTTGGAGGAGGAGTCAGAACCTATAAATAGAAGGGACGGACGTGGGGACGTCCTCTTGGCCGTTTTGGATCGGATCACCCGCCCTCCCTCCCTTTAATAGGGGTTTTTTTTATTTAAGTTGATCGCTTGACCTTGCTATGCCTGTCATGGGGTCGTTCGCCTTTGAGCGGGGGCCTGGTAGGAATTTTGCCATCTGGCTGATTGGCTGGTGCCATTTGGTTTTTGCCTACTGCGTAGCAAATCGTCACAACTTGTAAGGTTGGCGGTTAGGCATTGGTTAATTGGTGCTTGGAGGGGTAAGTGCCTACCCCTCCAAATGATGCGGAAAGGGAATTCCGTTAAAGGAATCCAGGGGCTTGCCATTCTTTTCGTCCTTGTCCGTGGAGCCGGACTTGGGCCGTGCAAGCCCCACCGGAACATGAGGGTGAGAAGTGAGGGTCTGTTTCCCGGCCTCCCTTCTCATCCAATACTTGTTTCCCACGCTGGCTTCCGGTGGAGTCCGGAAGGGCCAGCTCTGTCCTTGAGGGCCAGGACAGATAGTCGGAACCAATGCCTAAGCAACCACTCACAATTTTTTGTATTTTGAATAAAGTTGTGGCCAAAATTATGCCAAAAACCTTAAACAAAAATTGACGTGTGAAGTGTGAATTTATTTGGGGGACGGCACTGTGGAACTCAATATGCAATGAGATTCCGACTAAACATCAGGAAGAACTTTCTGACCGTAAGATCTGTTCAACCGTGAAAGAGGGGGTTGGACTAGATGGCTTCATGGGAACCCAGTTCTGTGATTCTGTTTGTTTTTTTTAAAAGATATTTATTAAAGTTTCCAAAAATTTATATAAAATAGAAAAACAGAAGAAAAAAGAAAAACCAAAAATACATACAAAACACACATACAACAACAAGTATAATTTCAGTCCCTTATATTCATATAACTTACTTTCCTGACCTCCTCATACCTCCCATTTCTGTATTCTAATCTCTAATTATTTAATTTCAGCAAATCCTTCCCCTAATTTATGTTTAGTTTTTGACCTTTCTTTTCTTAATTACATAATCATTACAGCTAGAAACCACTTAATTTCTGAATCAACATCGTTCTAACATTCAATAATTTTACAATGTTTCTTAAGATAGTCCTTAAATTTCTTCCAATCTTCTTCCGCCGTCTCTTTCCCCTGGTCTCAGATTCTGCCGGTCATTTCTGCCAGTCCCATATAGTCTATAACCTTCATCTGCCATTCTTCCACGGTGGGTAGATCTTCTGTCTTCCAATACTTTGCAATCAGTATTCTTGCTGCTGTTGTTGCATACATAAAAAATGTTCTGTCCTTCTTTGACACCAATTGGTGCCAGTTCTGTGATTCTGTCACCTGTTTCAAGCTCAGACCCACAGCTGAAGCACCTTGAGGATTGTCACTTTGAATTCTCAGCGCCATCACAGAGGTGTCATTATTTCCAAGGTTCTTGTGCTGACAGTCAAATCACCTCAAAAGCAGTTCAGTTATGTAAAGCAAACGAGTCCCTTCAGTAGATTAGCTTCAGCTCAAAAGCTTCTCTTCTCTCTCTCCCACATTGGGGTTCTGTGAGCCCCTGTTCCTGGCAGGGGCTGTTCATCTGGAAACACTTGCCTGCCTCAGTTCCTCAGGGAAGCTTGCCAGATCTCTGGCCTCTGCCCAACCACATCATGTGGCGCTGAGTTCCACGGTCATTTAGCTGCCAAATGCCGGCTGTGTAAGACAACAACCGAGCCAGCCAGCCCTGTGATTTACACTGCCCTTAAAGGTTTAAAAGCTACCCAAATAGAAACTGCATTCTGCCCTCGTTCCAAGGGACTCTTCTCCCCTACAAGGTCTGATTCTTTGCGACAAAGTCTTGGCAGGGTCAAAGAACTATTTGATGCCTTCAAATCAGTTGCTTATTCCAAAAGGGCCGTATAGGGTAGGATCTGAGTGGTGTGGCATCTGGGAAGAGTCCGTAGGAAAGGGAAATAAACGAATAAGTGAGCTGATGTGTGGCGACAATGACTGTGGAATCCCCGATGGTGAAGCAATGCTCATTTTTCCAGCTTTGCATTGTGTGCTGGGAAGGAGAATCCAGTTTGCTCTCCAGTTTTGCCTTCTCTCTCTGAATACCACCAAAGATTTCTCCTTTTGAAAGCCACCCCCCAGGTTGGATTGCTCGGCACAGATGCGGCTGCCCAGAACGATGGTGGCGGCGACTCCTTGTGGGACGGCCTGTGAGGTTTTGAACCTGCCCTCGGGAGAGGAAATCAAAGAGCACAGGGTGGAAAAACAAGCCATCCTTGCTGCCCGCCGCTCAAGCCACAGTGAGCGGCGATAAACAAACAGAGTGACAATGACGGACATAGACTAAACACTGGCGTTTTCCGTCCTGCCAGAGCAGCTCATGGGCGCAGGAAGATGCCCAGAGATCTGAAGGCTCCACAAACCATCCTATAGGCGCCGTGGCATTGAAAGGACAGAGTTGCTTGCAAAGGAGGCCTTTGCTCTCAACTGATCTTGCAGTTTCCTCCTGCTATGGGGACCTTGAGACATTTGGCCCAGGTTACAAACAAGAGGCTGGTCTGCTGTGGCCATCTCACTTCACTTCATTTCATTTTTGATTTGTATACCACTTTTGTACATGGCTGTACAGTCGGACCTTGGAAGTTAAACGGAATCCGTTCCGGAAGTCCATTCGACTTTCAAAACGTTTGGAAACCAAAACGCGGCTTCTGATTGGCTGCAGGAAACTCCTGCAGCCAACTGGAAGCCCCGTCAGACATCCGGGTTCAAAAGAGTGTCTACAAACCGGAAGAGTCACTTCTGGGCTTGCGGCGTTCGGGAGCCAAAACGTTCGACTTGCAAGGCATTCGGGATCCAATGTATGACTGTTTACAAGACAACACACAAGCTGAAGGAACAACAAAGATCACACCAAGGTAACCCAGTGCAAAAATGTCATAAGAAAAACATAGCTTTGAAATAAACAACATACCAAATAAAGTAACATTCAACAACCCCTTAGAATATAGCAGCACACAATAAAATTAAATATCAGCAAATAATAGTTAAACAGAAATCCACTCTTCACAATTACAATAAATAATTTCAAGACTGTAATGGCAGCAATTCACAGCACGTTAAATAACACAATAAAAATGGATAAGCAAAGGAACACGACTCATAAAATTATTTTAAAAAAATATCCCTGAACTCCTCTTCTTTTGCACCCAGTGCCCAGCCTGCCCTGGAAACCACAGCCAGACTCGATCCCTCTCTCTTTTGCCACTGCCGCTGTGTGAACACCACGGCGCTGCTGGAAGAAGGAGTTTGGGGTCTAATCCTGATCTCGGTGGCAGGTCTGCTTCCTCCAGCTCAGCCCCCACTCCCCCTCCTGGCGTTCATGGAGGGAGAAAGCAGCTGGCAAAGGACGGAGCCTCCAATTGGCCTGTTTAGGATTTCTGCTCTGTTTGCAGCCCCACATCGGTCCCTGGAATCCACGTATAAATAAACATGCCAATCCATTATAGGTTGGAGAGATGTTGTTTTTTCCATGTCAAACTATTCCAGACATCTTGCTTCACCAAAGTCTTTCTGCCTGGTCCGGGACGGGTGAAGCAAAAGCCAGGGGCTTAGAGAGGGATTTCACCCGGCTGCTGAGCCGGTGGTGCCTGGGGGTGGGCGGTGGCGGACAGTGTGGTAGCCGCAGGCTGGTCCTGCTGCGGTTTTTTTTGGGGGGGGGGGCGGGAGAGGCCCAGGAAGTCCCAGCACACACAGCAAGGCTTATTCTGGAGCTGCGCTTTACAAGAAACGAAAACTCTCGTATTTGGGATCGACGGTCGGCTCGGAACAATAAAGCCTTAGTTCGAGCAAAGTATTGCCAGCTAGTTAAAGGAATATTTCCAGCAGGCTCCAAATGCATCTCCCTGAACACTCAGCAGCTCGCTAAATATGCCCCTGGGGCAGCGCCGCTCTGGTAATTATAAAGACCCCCCAACAGCATCCTCTTGGGTCAGCGCGCTGCCTGTTGCCCCGTTTGGGAGGCTGCTCGGTGGTGCGGGCTGGATTCGTACCCAAGACTTGGGCATCCCTCCCTGCCAAGAGCGGCTGTTTTGGCCAGGGAAAAGCTGACTGTTTGATTTGGGAGGCCGGACCAGAGCCGCTTGGGTGAGTGTGTACGGAAATCTGGGGAGGTGGAGGTGTTTTCAGCAGTGCAAAATGGGGGCTGTCTAAATATGGGGAAGGTGTTGTTTTTGTTGCATTGCACTTCGTAGAATCATAGAGCTGGAAGGGACCCGCGGGGTCATCTAGCCCAACCCCCTGTGATGCAGGAATCCTTTTGCCCAATGAACCTGAGATTAAGAGCCACAGGCTCTACTGGATGAGCTATCCAAGCAGTCAGTTCCACCCCACTTTTTCCTCCAAGGAGCTCCCAGTGACATGCACGGTTCTTAATCCCCATAACAACAACCCTGCAAGGTAGGTTAGTAGGCTGAGAGGCAGGAGGTGCAGGCTGGGACTGATGGGAGCTGTAGTCAAAACATCTGGAGGGCACCAGGTTGTGGGAAGGCTGGCCTGGCTCCCTGAACCCTGCGCCACAATGGTAATGAAGTCTTGCATACATTTGCATTCTTTTTGAGGGGTAGGTTAGTAAAGGTAAAGGGACCTCTGACCATTAGGTCCAGTCGTGGCTGACTCTGGGGTTGCGGCGCTCATCTCGCTTTATTGGCCGAGGGAGCCGGCGTACAGCTTCCGGGTCATGTGGCCAGCAGGACTAAGCCACTTCTGGTGAACCAGAGCAGCGCAGGGAAACGCCATTTACCTTCCCGCCGGAGTGGTACCTATTTATCTACTTGCACTTTGACCTGCTTTCAAACTGCTAGGTTGGCAGGAGCAGGGACCGAGCAACGGGAGCTCACCCTGTCGCAGGAATTCGAACTGCCAACCTTCTGATTGGCAAGTCCTAGGCTCTGTGGTTTAACCCACAGCGCCCCGCGCGTCCCTATGAGGGGTAGGTTAGGGAGAGGTTTTCTTTGAATCCTTTTATTCTTCTGGCTCCAGGCCTCTGTCATGGCTCACACAGAAAGTGGCTCTAGATCTGCTTCTCGTCACAGAGAGCACCAGATCCAGGCTTCATCCTCGCTTAGCCGACAGCAACAAGCTGGAGATCCAGACCTCCTCCCGTTCTCTATCTTGGCCTCTTGAACATACAGTCATACCTTGGGTTACAGCTGCTTCAGGTTGCATTTTTTGGGGTTGCGAACCGCCAAAACCCGGAAGTACTGGAACAGGTTACTTCCAGGTTTCGGCGGTTGCGCATGCGCAGAAGCGCTAAATCACACTTTGTGCATTCGCAGAAGCACCAAGTCGCAACACATGCCTGCACAAACACGCAGGTGCGGGTTGTGGACGCTGTGGGTTGCGATTGTGCATCCCGCACAGATCACGTTCGCAACCCAGGCGTCCACTGTACTCGCATCTATCAAAAAGAGCAGGCTCCTTGAGTCAGTTTTCAAGGATGGCATTAGTTGGAACAGAAAAAATAAAACGGACAAGATAAATGCCCAGTGTGTCTGTTTCAGTATTAGGTCAATGTCATTGGGATGGAGTGGTTGGTGTGTCGGACCTGGGTTCAAATCCTGCCTCGGCCATGAAGCTTGCTAGGTGAGCTTGGGCCAGTTGCTGCAGGGAGGAAGTGCCTAGAGAGGAGTTTTTCTTCCTCTCTCGTGACACTAGGAATTTGTGGACATCTGATGAAACTTAATTTTGGGATATTCAGGACAGACAGGAGAAAGGACTTGTCCACGCAGCTCAGGGTTAAACTGTCAGATGTGCATGCAGAAGCCAGGCCCTGTGACCAATAGGACTTTGCAGGACTGAGGCCTTCCTAAGTTTGTTCTGAAGAGGCAAGGTGTGGCCGCACAGGTGAGGCCGATTGGTAACTCACAGCACCTGGTGGCAAGAGCTGGGAAGGGAGATAAGGTCAGCATTTCCCTTCGGCTGTTTGCCACAGCAACACATTCCCTGCCTTTGGCTTCTTGCTTCCTGATCCTTGAACCTCGGCTTCTTGACCCTCAGACCCTTGACTTCTTGACTCCTGGCTCTCTGACTCTTTAGACTCTTGGCTTCCTGGCTTCTGGACCCCCCTTCCTGCTCCCACCCTGCCATCTTGCCTCCGGTCCCGACGTCCCCTACCGGGACTTCGATCGCCCGTGAACCAGGCCATGACAGGAACTCCCTCCCACAAGAGGCAGAGATGGCAACCAACCTGGTTGGCTTTTAAAGAGGATTAGACAAATTCGTGGAGGAGAGGGGTGTTGCATGCCACAATCTTTCTAAATACTACTTGCTGGAGACCACAGGAGTACAGAGGACTTTTGTGCTGCGACCCTGCTTGCAAGTTTCCCCCAGGCAACTGTTCAGCCAGTGTGAGAACTCAATGGGCCACTGGCCTGATCCAGCACAGGCCCTTCTTGCGTCCATTGTGGCCGTTTCAGTGTTGCATCAATGCTAAATGCCTCATACAGTCATACCTCGGGTTACAGATGCTTCAGTTTGCTGTTGTTCGGGTTGCGGACCACCAAAACCCGGAAGTACCAGAGCGGGTTACTTCCGGGTTTCGGCGGTCACACATGCGCAGAAGCGCTAAATCACGCTGTGCACAGAAGTGTTGAATCGTAACCCGCACATGCGCAGATGTGGGTTGTGAATGCTGAGGGTTGCGAACGTGTATCCCGGCAGATCACGTTCGCAACCCGAGCATCCACTGTATTTGGAAAATGCCAGGCCTCTCCTGCCTCAAGTCTACTCCAGTCACCATCTTGCCTGTTCGGCTTCTTCCACACATGGCGGCAAATGGCCTGCAATGCTCTTCCTCCGGCAGGCCGGCTGCAAGGTCAAGAGGTTCCCCAGAGGTCATCCACTCTGCCCCCGCTCTTCCCAGGTGATTCCCCTGCGATCCGCGTTGCGTCGCGTCCACTCATTTGGCACAAGCGGCTCTTTGATTTCGCAAGGCTGTGATCAACTTGCCAGGGGAAGCCCAGTCCCTCACGAGTCAGCCTGCCCCCGAGTTTAGTCACCTGCTTTGTTGGGGGGGGGCTTGGTCTCCAGCCCTTGGACTGCGTCCCGGGAAACGTCTCTCTGTGAAACGGGCATTTATTGAAACCAGATTGTGGGAGGAGCAGTCTGCGCCTCCATCGCTCTCCTTTTGAACACTAAGCGCTCTGGAATGAACTCAGCAACCTCCAAAGGAATCCTTGCCTGTTGTCTCCTCCGTACAGCGAGTCACGGAGGGAAGAGAAGCCAGGAGAACCTTTGATTCTGCTCACAGTTTCCCAATAGGCCTTAGCTCAGGCCCGTCTCATAGAATCGTACAATTGTAGAATTGGAAGGGACCCTGGAGTCATCTATTCCAACCCCCGACAAGGCAGGAATCTCAGCTCAAGCATCCATGACAGATGGCCGTCCAACCTCTGCTTAGAAACCGCCAAGGAAGGAGAGTTCACCCACTTTCTAGGGAGTCTGTTCCACTTTCAAGCAGCTCTCACCATCACTAAGTTCTTCCCAATGTTCAGTCGGGATCTCCTTTCTTCTCATCTGAATCTGTTGGTTTGGGTTCTGCCCTCCAGAGCAGGGCGGGAAATAAGCTAACTCCATCTTCCTTGAAGGTTTGTTTGGGGTGGAGGCTGCTGTACTCAGTTGGCTTGTTTTAATAATCATTGCAGTGTCTCCAAAAAAGCATTGGACATTGGAAGCCTCCTTGGAGTGTATCGAGCCCCATATTGTCTACACCATAATTAATTGTTTTATTTAATTTAATTATTTAATTTAATTTAATTTAATTAAATTATTTAATTTAATTTAATTTAATTATTTAATTTAATTTAATTATTTAATTATTTAAGTCGATTTAATTATTTATTGATTTAATTATTTAAGTATATGTCCTGGGGTAAAATCCTTAAGAAAAGCTCAGTAATCTCAACTTTGGTCGGCCCTCACACATGTTCACTTCATCAAATCTGGCCCTCTTTGAAAAAAGTTTGGGCACTCCTGTGACCTACACAGACAGGCGGCCAAGGAGTCTGGAACGAACCTGGGTGTCTCGTTTACTTGCGGCCTAGGACCCACGTACCTACAGGACCGCCTCTCCTGGTCTGCCCCGCGGAGGACCCTAAGGTCCACAAATGACAACACTTTGAGGTCCCAAGCCACAAGGAGGTTAGATTGGTCTCAACTAGGGCCAGGGCCTTTTCAGTACTGGCCCCAACTTTTTGGAACGCTCTGTCACAAGAGACCAGGGCTCTGCGGGACTTGACATCTTTCCGCAGGGCCTGCAAGACAGAGCTGTTCCGCCTGGCCTTTGGCTTGGATTCAGTCTGACCCTTATGTCTTTCCTCCCCTTACGGTTTTGATCTATTGGCTACTTTTAAAATGAGGCTGCATTTTAAATTGCATTTTCACCTGTATTTTAAATTGGTCCGTCCCCCCCCCTCCCCAATTACGTTTTTACTGTGGTTTTTTTATTGGTGTTAGCCGCCCTGAGTCCGGCTCTGGCGGGGAGTGCAGGGTATAAATAAAATTTATCATCATTATTATTATTACTTCCACACATCCTTATATGACTGTAATCCACTGATGTGAGAATAAGCAATGATGCCCTTATTAAACTGTGGGGTGCAAGTGACCTTGTTGAGGTTGCCATGATCAGGATGCTGTGAGCCCAAGTTACGACTTCTGCAAAGATGCAGACCGGGCACCACATTCCCATACCATATTAGAAAGAAAACACAGTGTAGGGGGTGCTTTTAAGGACCCTCCTATACTGGGCTCCTCCAGTCCCAAACCGCCACCTCACCAATTTGGGATCTTCCACTCGTGCGGCGGCAAGAGGGGCCAAATCCGGCAGATACAGCAGGACAGGTTGGAGAGGAGAGAGCTCAGGCCTGTTTCGTTCCCTGTTTGTCTTGTGGGACCACGGCAGCTTGAGAGGTGAGCAGGTGGATGGAGCGTGCATTTTGTAGCCATGGTGTGTCTGCCGGGAAAGCGGAGCTGGAAACTGGGGCAAGAGGACGAGGGCGAGAGAGCAGGATATTAGGAAGAAGGGTGCGCTGCAACATTTTGTGGCGGTTGCCGCATGCATGCGTGGTGTGCTTGTGCATGCACCAGCCACAACATCCCAGCCCCCCCCTTAGCACGGCTGTTGACAAACTGGCGCCCTCCAGCTGTTTGGGAATACAACTCCCATCATCCCCCAAATGGCCATGCTGCCTGGGGCTCATGGGAATTGTAGTCCAGTACAGCTGGAGGGCGCCAGGCTGCTTTAGCCTCCCCAAGAAATGCCTAAGATCATGGAGGGACTGTGCCAATGAGCCTAGTCCTTTGACTCTATGGGTTCGTTGGCTCTACGGAGTTTCCGTTTAATTTAATTTATTTCTCTGTACGGCATTTATATCCCATCTTTTCCCCCCAAGGAGCTCCAGGTGGCATGCGTGGTTCTCCACCTCCTCATTTAACCCCCACAATAACCCTGTGAGGGAGGTTAGGCTGAGAAGCAGCCACTGGCCCAAGGTCGCCAAGTGAGCTTCATGGCTGGGTGGGAATTCGAACTCGGGTCCTAGTCCAGCACTCTATTATTTTTTACTAAGTGTCTTTCCCTCCCTTCACCATAACGGCTCCTCCCCAGGCTAGCGCTACCACGAAGCCTAGTAAACTGATTCCTCTCGGACCCCTGTGGCCAGGGGTAACCCTTGGCTAGATGGCCTTTGGGTGCCCCTTCCCACTCTTTTGTCCTTCGCTTCTCTGAGGCTCCTCCTTTGCTTCTCCTTGGCCCAAAGCCTCGATGGAGGAGGAGATGTCTGAGAGCGAACCCTGAACCTGGCGCAGGTAGCAATGGACGGAAGCGCCTTTGTTTCCGTACTCCCAATTCCTCCCTGTTCCAATATTTGCTTGTGGAGATTAGCTGTTTGATTTTCCATGCGTGGCTCCAACGTGGTCCAAGCCTGCCAGAGGGTTCACACGCCCCTTCCAGCTTCTGGTAAACCAGCAGAGTGGGTTTCATTCTGGGATGCCCCCGCCCCTCAAAAAACTTCAATTCGTTTATTCATTTCTGATATTTGTAGATCGCCATTGTAGATCACCACCGAATGACACAAAGCAGTTTACGGTCAATTAAGTAGTTCCTTCACCGGGTAGCACAGTGTTTGAGACAACCTCCCCCCCCCCAGGTTAAAAACATTAATTCCATAAATAGGCATCATAAAAATTACTTAAAGCAAATTGTATTAAATTAAAATATTGCAAGTCGCTTTGAGTTGCTGTGGCAACAAAAGCGACTAATAAATTTAATTAACATTAATCTTAGAATGGCAGAGTTGGAAGGGACCCCACGAATCCTTGCAATGCAGAAGTTGACGGTTGACAGTTAAGAACAGGTATTTAAAAACCAATTAAAACCAACATGAAAACTAAAAACGCAGATTAAAACCCATGCCAACATTCTACATGGGTTTGCCTAGACAAAGATGTTTTAAGCAGGTGCTGGTACAGTGAAGGCGCCTGCCTGGTGTCAAGTGGCAGGGAGTTCCAAAGTGTAGGTGCTGCCACACTAAGAAATGGCAAGTATTGTGCAGCCCATCTGTAGGTATTCCTGTTGTGTGCTGCCCTTCCCACTGGCTCGTTTTGAGAATTCACCCACACCCCAAATCAGGGCTGCCTTATAGCATTCTCTCTTTTCTCCCCTCTTTTCCCCCGGCTCTCAGATGCTGACCCTTGTCTCCTGTGTCGGCAGAGTGGTGGTCCTCTTGGCGGCTGTTTCGGTGACCACGTCCATCACCATGTCAGGAGAATGGGGAGAAGAAGGTGAGCTGACACCTGCAGACGAGTATCTCTCTAGGCCAGGCAGTCCCCCAACTCGGCCCTCCAGATGTTGGAGGCAGCAATACTACTGAATATCAGTTGCTGAAAGCCACAGGAGGGGAGAGCTGCTCTTAAGCACAAGAGTCCTGCTTGTGGGTTGGTTGGTTGGTTGGTTGGTTGGTTGGTTGGTTGGTTGGTTTGAGTTTGTATGTGGCTTTTCCACAATGCGCTGTCCCCAAAGCAGCTCACAGCAAGCATTCAAAACAGCCAAACAGAGAGCAATGCAAAATGCAGAACACGCCAGCGATTTCAAAATAACGAAAATCACCGATTTGGCAAGCTCAGAAGGCATTGCAGAAAAGCTTAAGTACATGAATTCGAAGCAAAAATGAAAGCTAGCCGACAATGAAGACTGGCACTGGTCTTGCTACAACTCAAGGAGCCCGGCTTAAGTGGCGTTCTCAGGAGAGGCTTCGATGGCGCACAGCTGGCATACAGGCTGGGCGGCAAGCCTCTGGCTCCCACATCTGTCCTCTGGAGGAGGCTGGCAGCACCGAAAGGAAATGTCAGGGTGGGGGGGCAATGATGGCCAGTCTCTCCCCCCAGCCTCCTGGACAGTACCAACGGCTGGGGCAGGTTTTGCTGCCCTTCCCACTGGTTGGCTGCTGGTGAGAAGAGGATAGTGAACTCAAAAGGCCATTGGGCTAATCCGTCAGACTCTTCTTTCCGTTCTGAGGTTCTTAATCTTTAAACTGGGCCCTTAGTGCCTATTCTGGCTACTGGGTGCTCTCTGGGGTCCCCAGCAGAGAGTCGGTCCCCACCCCCAGCCTTGCTCCCTGTAATTGGGGAGACTGCGCTTGGCTTTTCTCCGCGACAGCGTTCCCAAACCGGTGCCCTCCAGCTGTTTTGGCTGCAGAGAGACGAGGCAGAAGGACTCACCTGCCTGGCATGCATGTTATGTTGCTGGCAGACAGATCTATTGGCCAAGTTGGCAGCGGCTTCTTCCTGCTTCCTTTTCCCGCGGGGGCAGGTGAACCGGCAGCCCCGCAAACAAGCCCCAGCGCTGCCTCACCTTAGGCACAGCAGGTTGGGGCTCGTAAGTCGCGTTCTTCCTGTTGCTTGACGTACCTTGCAGGTATCGAACAGGAGAGCAGACCTGTTCTTTTGTCCTCCGATTGCCTTAGAATCATAGAATCATAGAGTTGGAAGAGACCACAAGGGCCATCGAGTCCAACCCCCTGCCAAGCAGGAAACACCACCAGAGCACTCCTGACATATGGTTGTCAAGCCTCTGCTTAAAGACCTCCAAAGGAGGAGACTCCACCACACTCCTTGGCAGCAAATTCCACTGTCAAACAGCTCTTACTGTCAGGAAGTTCTTCCTAATGTTTAGGTGGAATCTTCTTTCTTGTAGTTTGGATCCATTGCTCCGTGTCCGCTTCTCTGGAGCAGCAGAAAACAACCTTTCTCCCTCCTCTATGTGACATCCTTTTATATATTTGAACATGGCTATCATATCACCCCTTAACCTCCTCTTCTCCAGGCTAAACATTCCCAGCTCCCTTAGCCGTTCCTCATAAGGCATCGTTTCCAGGCCTTTGACCATTTTGGTTGCCCTCCTCTGGACACGTTCCAGTTTGTCAGTGTCCTTCTTGAACTGTGGTGCCCAGAACTGGACACAGTTACCTAGCACAGGGCTAAAGCTCACTCAAGCAGCCCAAGAGACCACAGAGATTGGTGGGGGGAGATGATTCTTTTATTTCATTTCATAATGTCTATAATCCAGAATGCAGCAGCAAGACTGGTGACCGGGAGCAAGACTGGTGTCCTGAATGGGGTAACTGTGCCCCTGAAGGACCAGGTGTGCAGCCTGGGAGTCATTTTGGACTCACAGCTGTCCATGGAGGCGCAGGTCAATTCTGTATCCAGGGCAGCTGTCTACCAACTCCACCTGTACGCAGGCTGAGACCCTACCTGCCCACGGACTGCCTCGCCAGAGTGGTGCGTGCTCTAGTTATCTCTCGCTTGGACTACTGCAATGCAGGGAACCAGGCAGAGGGCCTTCTTGGTAGTGGCACCTGCCCTGTGGAACTCCCTTCCACCAGATGTCAAGGAAATAAACAGCTATCTGACTTTTAGAAGACATCTGAAGGCAGCCATGTTTAGGGAAGTTTTTAATGTTTGATCTTTTATCGTGTTTTAATGTTCTGTTGGAAGCCACCCAGAGTGGCTGGGGAAACCCAGCCAGATGGGCTGGGTATAAATTATCATCATCATCATCATCATCAACATCATCAAACTGAGAGAACAGTTGTAGCAACAGATGGAAGTTAAAAGATGAAAAGCAGAAGTATAAAATAGGCACGTAGAATTAGGGATATGGGTCAAAATAGTGAAATCTGAGTAAAGAATATTATTTTTACCTGATTATCAAGTCTAGTTCCAGATATAGTGGCAGGCTTGTGATGAAGGCTGTTTGGTTCCATTGTATATGGAATTGAAGGATGGAGATTAATATTCTATCTCCAGAGAGATGGACTCTGAATAACATTTCAGGGCTTTATTAAGGCACATTTTGGAAATATATTCAGCGCACACAAGTCAATATAGTTCCTCAAAAAACATAAATATAAGACATATTCCAATGGTGCTCAGGTAAAACACCTCCTCTTCCATATGAGGATGGTTAAATTTGTATCCTGCCCTCCATCTGTAGATATCAGGGCTGTTCACAACATAAAAACACAAGATAAAAAAAAACCACATAGGTGGAGGTGATATCCCTGCCAATGTTTGGGTGTGGTGGTGGTCAGTTGCTCCCTCTGGACTCTGGCCAAAGTCAATCAGAACAAGATTTGGACCGTTCTCTAACTACACAATGTGCCATCGTAGCCCCTTTTCTTGGGGGAAAGAGAGGGTCTCGTCCCCCCAAAATGAAGGAACCCTGATCCCCTCTGTTCCAAGCCACATGTCCTTTCCCCAGTCCCATCACTTTTGAGTTTGGGCTGTGCTTATCTGGGGGGTTATTTGCCAAAGTGCTCATCCTTCGCAAGAAACGTAATACAGTACGATCACAGGGTTCGGTTGCAAGGGGTCTGTGTACACCCAAAGATTGCTTATATCCAAACCCTGGTGGGTGGGGAGAGAGAGAATCCCAAACTCTCACAGACCATGTGCCCAGCAAGGCATACCAGAAAGCAATGTGGAGAGCTTAAAAGCTATTTTTGCGCCGGGCGACCCAAGCAGAACTGGCACAAAAGAGCTTTTAAGCTCTCCTCCTTGCTTGGGGGGCAAGGCTTGCTCCGCGTGTCGGCTCTGGGATGTTTGTGCGAGATTCCTCACCATAAAAAATGGGATGTCCCAGTTGTTCTGGTCTCCTTATGCTCATGGGCCTCTCTTCCAGGGGTGACGTATGCCCAGCTGGGGAAAGAAGTGATCCTGACGTGCGCTGGAGCGAGTCCCGGGTAGGTGTCTCCAAGCAGTCGTGGTCCCTTCCAGAGGGGTCGTGCAAGACCTCTGAGTGCAGGAGGGGAGGCAAGAGTCACCTTGGGACAGGCCAGTCTGATTTTCTGGGCCCCTTGACATGGGAACAGAGGGCATGTTTGCAGACAAGACGTCGCTGCCTCTCATTCATCCTCACTTCGGCTTTCTGGCTTTCAGCTCCTCGGTGGAATGGCGGTGGAACGGAGGCCCCGTCCTCCCAGAAGACTCTGCGGTGCAGGCTGGACAGCTTCTCCTGTCCCACCCCCAGCTCTCCTCCGAAGGGGTCTACAGCTGCCACGACACCAGCGGGGTCCTCCTCAGCTCCACTGTGCTCCGTCTCGGACGTAAGTTTGGGGTCGGCTGCACCAGAGGTGGAGCGCGGTGGGTGCAGTGGGTGCTGTGCACCCCGGGTGCCATCCTTGAAGGGGGGGGTTGACAAAATCCTGGCTGGGCCCAATCGTGGCCACACCAGATCGTGCACCCCGGCCTGGCCCCCGTGGCGGAGCGCACCCCCCAGCCAGGTGCAATTGCCCAGCCCCCTGTGGAGAGAACGGGAAAGAGGAAGGCGAGCAAAAACGGAGGGAGGGGAATGGGTGCCGCACACCCCGTCCCATCCCTCCCTATGGGCAGTTCCCCAAGTGCCAGAGAGGCTTCCTCCGCCGCTGGGATGCACAGATTCGTGGCAAGGTAGGGAAATTCTTGGGAATGAGGGCAGAGCGGTTAAGAACATAGGAAGTCCCATCGAACCCAAAATTGTCTCCACCAGCCAGAGTTTCAGGCATAGTGTTTCTCCCAGCTTGAGAGATGCTGGGGATTGAACCTGTCGTAATATTCTGGAAGAAACTTGAAAATGGTCTTGAAGAAGTTGCTAGGCAATGTAGAATTTCCCCAGCAACAGGTGCCTTTATTAGGGCATGTGACCAACTATGTTGCTTTATTTGTTTTTATTTATTTACTAATGATCAGCGTGGGACGCGGGTGGCGCTGTGGGTTAAACCACAGAGCCTAGGACTTGCCAATCAGAAGGTCGGCAGTTCGAATCCCCGCAACGGGGTGAGCTCCCGTTGCTCGGTCCCTGCTCCTGCCAACCTAGCAGTTTGAAAGCACGTCAAAGTGCAAGTAGATAAATAGGACCGCTCTGGCGGGAAGGTAAACTGCGTTTCCGTGCGCTGCTCTGGTTCACCAGAAGTGGCTTAGTCCTGCTGGCCACATGACCTGGAAGCTGTATGCCGGCTCCCTCGGCCAATAAAGCGAGATGAGCGCTGCAACCCCAGAGTTGGCCACGACTAGACCTAATGGTCAGGGGTCCCTTTACCTAATGACCAACGTAAAGTTTTGTAAATACAGTGGACGCTTGGGTTGCGAACGTGCTCTGTGCGGGATGCACATTCGCAACCCACAACAGCACGTCTGTGCATGTGCAGGTTGTGCTTCTGCACATGCACAAAGCGCAATTTAGCGCTTCTGCGCATGCACGAACCCCAAAACCCGGAAGTAACCCGTTTCGGTACTTTCGGGTTTCGGCGGGTCTGTAACCTGAAAAAACGCAATCTGAAGCATCTGTAACCCGAGATATGACTGTAGTAAAGACTCTGAGAAACAGAACCTAATGGTGTTTATTCCTGTAATGGGAATTTCACTAAGAGATAGCTAGAATGCTGATGCTGTAAAGAAGTAAAAGATGCAGGAAAACCTTTCTGTAAAGGGAACTCTGCTTCAGAAAGAAATGGCAACCCAAAACTAGATGCTTACTCACCAACAGAACCTTGAACGTTCTGCATACAATGAGCTGTGGCCCTTCCCCGATTGCTGGCCTGGCCTTGAGCTTTTGCCAGGAGCAAAGGCCTGGCCTGGGATGCTAGCGCTGGGCAGCTGGGCCTCCCCTGAACTTAGGCAGGAGGTGGGAGCCATTGGAGGAAGGCCAGACATGCTCCCTGCCCTGGTTGCGCCCTTACTCCAAGCCGCACCTTGCTTCTCCCACAGGCCTGCCGGGGAAGCCCTCCATCTTGTGTACGGCACCAAACTATGAGGACCTTTCCTGCTTCTGGGCTTCCACCGTCGAGACCTTCCTGCCCACCAGATACATCACGTCCTACAGGTAAGGCCGTGCACCACTGGGTCTGTGGAAGGGGTTGGGGGCTTGCGTACCTGTGCCACAACTAAGAATCCACCTCCAGCTGGTGTGCAGCATGGCAGATTAGTTTGTGTGTTCATAAAATCACGGAATTGTACGGTTGGAAGGGATCCCTGAGGGTCATCTAGCCCAACCCCCTTAGCCCAATCACAGCTAAGACTCCCTGACAGATGCCCCCCCCCACTCCACTTAAAACCTTCCCACGCAGGAGAGGCCACCACCTTCCAAGGGAGTCTGATAACAACGCTTATCGTCAGGAACGTCTTCCTAACAGTTAGTCGGAATCTCATTTTGTGTCATTTGAGTCCATTGGTTCGGGTTCTACCCTCTGGAGCAACAGAAAACATGCTGGCCTTCTTGGAAGATGGATCTCAGGGTCCCCAAGGAGATGGCTTCAGGCACCAGGCCCGCCAGCAGACGAAGTTGTCTGCAAACATAAGATGAAGGCCCTGCTGTGTAGGAATCCCTTGCAGAGCCAGGAGACAGTCAGGTTGTGCATGTCAGGAGTTCAGCCTATACTCAAGTAGGACCCTGTCAGAGACACATCCCCGACTGGCATGTTCCCTCCCTCCTGGTCGATCGTTCTGTCAGCATCGCCCTTGAGCCAGTGCACCAACTGGACTCATACACTTCAGCCCCGACTGGGCTAGGCGAGCTGGGTAGCACTTCCAGAGACCTCCTTTCTCACAGGAACAGGTCACAGTGCTGTGGACTCACAGCTTAGAACTGAGAGCACCGGATTCACTGTCTCAATAATACAGTCGTTGCGCAGCAGAGTTTTGCAGAGTCTTGCAGAGTATAAACCACTCGGAGAGCAGCTCTGTAGAATATCTTCCTTTTATTCTGTAACTACAACTATGATACAAAACTATATACAGAGCTGAATATTCTAAGCATAAATCAATGCTACACTGAGAGTCTACAGCTGCTCTTAGCAGCAACCTTATCTCTAGGATCTCTAACACTCTCTCTCTCTCTTGGATACACTGACTGACTGACTCTCTCACACACACACCTACACACTGACTGATTGATGTGGTGCTGGGCAGAATAAGTAGATAGCAGGACACGCCTCCTCCTCTCTGGAGAGTCAGCAGAGACCATCAGGAGATCATCAGGAGATTCTTGTGTATGGGAGGGGTGAAATCTCCTCACGTTCGGGAGCTCAAAAGCTTTCTTCTGCCCGAACATCATAGCGACCGATGCCAACAGACACCGGCACACTTAGGGATCCACAGAGTTTGCGCAGCATGCGTGTGACAGACCTCAGCAACTCAGCATTTTGGCTAATCTACCTTATTTGCATATAAACACACACGGAGCACTGCAACATGGCTCCCTCTCTCTCTCTAGCATCAGACAGCAAAGAGAAAGAACAAAGGACAATAGTAACACAAACAGAGTAACACAAACATCCTGCCTCCGTCACTTCCCATCCTGTGGAGTCAAAACAGACACCGTCATGTGAAAGACAACAATCCCATGACTGCAGTCATGGAGCAGGAATTCTAACAGTGCATCCATCAACAGTGCATTCCTTCATCCAGAGGAGGAATGACCGCTGTGAGGAGCAAAAAGAGAAGAAACGCCCTGGTGCTTTGAGAACACTGCCCCACCATCTCCTCCTCTGTCGTCCCCTTCTCCTTGTGCCCTCCATCTTTCCCAGTAGCACAACCAGACGCCTTCCTCTGCCTCAGCTGCAACGAAACATGTCTCTCCCTTATTGGTCTCTACAGCCACTGCAGGTGCTATAACTCCCCAGCAGCTGGTCTTCACTTCCAAAGACACACTCCTTCCTCGTCTCCTGAGACAGTGGGATGCCAACAGTATCCTCATGTCCTCTCTCGGTCCTCTCTTCTTCAGCCCAAACATCCCCAACTTCCAGAAGTATTCCTCCTAAGTCTTTGTTTCCAGACCCTTCATTTCCGTGGTCTGCCTCCTCTGTGATGGTAACGTGGATCAAAGGAATGTCCAGGCCAGGGCAGCTCTCTTCCCACACTTGGACCCATTTCTCAGTTATTGCAGGCAGAGTAGAGGGATCGGGTGGGAGATAAAGGTTAGGGTGGGGCGGCAGAATTCTGGCTGGCTTTCCTCCCTCTCCTTGCATTCTGACTTTACATTCTCCTGCCCTTGCAAATGCTGCATTCTTTTCCAAACCTTGCTGGCTGGCTGGCCGGGAGGCCCTTCCCCAAAACACACCACGCGGCTTTCCATTGCTTTGTCCAAATCGATACTCACCAAGAAGAAGAAAGATTTGTGTCTTTCCAGACGAAGGGGAAAGTGCTGCCTGGACGGAAAGGGAGGCGGGGGCCCCTGATGTCTCCACCCGACATTCCAGAAGGGTGGAGTAACCGAGAGGATGCTTCCAGGCCCACCAAGTCCACTGCAGGGAGGGAGGGGGGAAGGGGGGCTGAAGCCCCTCTGGCACCTTTCCGACACAGTTAGCCAAGCTGTAAAGAACCCAAAGTCACACTCCTTCCCTATTAAAAAAGTGAGGGGTAGCTCCCAGTCGTGATGTATGGAAGTGAGAGCGGACCATAAAGAAGGCTGATTGCCGAAGAATTGATGCTTTAGAATTATGGTGCTGGAGGAGACTCTTGAGAGTCCCATGGACTGCAAGAAGATCCAACCTCTCCATTCTGAAGGAAATCAGCCCTGAGTGCTCACCGGAAGGACAGATCCTGAAGCTGAGGCTCCAAGACTTTGGCCACCTCATGAGAAGAGAAGACTCCCTGGAAAAGACCCTGATGCTGGGAAAGATGGAGGGCACAAGGAGAAGGGGGCGACAGAGGACGAGATGGTTGGATAGTGTTCTCGAAGCTACCAGCATGAGTTTGACCAAATGGCGGGAGGCAGTGGAAGAGGAGCACCTGACGTGCTCTGGTCCAGGGGGTCACAAAGAGGCGGACACAACTAAATGACTAAACAACAACAACAGCTCCATGGTCCCAGCAGGAAGATCTCTTGTGGCGTTCTTCAAGAAGGGAGCGCCTGGCTGGGGTTGACTCTTCCCCCCCCCAAAAAAAATTTATTATTCATTTTATAACACAACTAAACAACACAAACAGAAAAACAAACAATACAAGCGAGTTCTTGTCTTATCCTTATTTTTTCTAAACATTGTTAGGTGAGCTTCCCCAAGTCCCCCCATCTGATTTTCATTTTACCTCATCTTTAGCAGTTAACATATACAGTTTTAACCATTTTTTTATCACACTTACTTTTACCATAAAAATCTTCACATTTTATCACTTACAAATAATACTATTTTAAAAAACACTATCTTCTACTTCTAACCCTACAGCCTATATTCACTTCCAAAGCTATTCTAAGATTTAAATATTAACATATTTTTCAAATATTCTTTAGACTTCTTCCACCGTCTCTTCTCTCTGGTCTCGGAGTCTCCCAGTCAGTTCGGCAAGTTCCATATAGTCTATCATCTTTGTCTGCCATTCTGGGGTTGACTCCTGGCCCAGACAGCCTGTAGGAAGAAGGAAGCAAGCTAACCCCCCCTTCCCTTCAAGGCACAGGAGAAGCCCCCCCACTCACTCGCTGCTCCTGAGAGTCAGAAGTGGGAGGTGGTAGCTGGAAAAGTAGTTTGGGATTGAGGATCTATCTATCATCTATCTATCTTAGGGTTACCAGACGTCCCTGTTTCCCGGGGACAGTCCCCAGATTTGTGAATAAGTCCCTGGAGAAATTCCATCCCAGGAATGTCCCCGGATTTCATCTAATGTCCCCGGGAAACGATACGATACCATAATCTTTATTGTCATTGTCCCATACAGAACAATGAAATGGAAAAAAATCTTCATCAGACCAACAAGCCTGCTATCCCTGCCTAGTTAGCCCCCTGAAAATTCTGATGCCCCATAATTAAATACAATATACTACCATTGAGACTACCTTACACTGCTTTTAAAACCAAAATCGCAAAAACCAACAGCCCGGAGCAGTTGGCTCTGGCTGGCTTCAGAAGCTGCTCAGAGGTCCCCATAGGATGGTGGTGCAGGGGCTCTAAGACGCAGCTTCCGGGCTGCCTCCACCTTCCCTGACCCCGGCAACTAAGCTGGGAAGGGAGGCTTCACGCTGCCTATCGGAGCAGCCCTGATCCCAACTCCTACTTGCGTGCAAGCAGGAGCGGGGCAGGGATCTCTCAGCTGTGAAGGGAGGCTTCATGTTGCCTAACGGAGCCTGCGTGGAAGCAGGAGGGGGCAGGGATCTCTCAGTTAGGCAATGGGAAGCCTCCCTTCCCAGCTGAGGGATCCCCGCCCCCTCCTGCTTGCACACAAGTAGGAATGGGATTGGGGCTGCTCCGATGGGAAGGGAGGCAATGTGCTTCCTGAGAGATCCCTGCCCCCTCCTGCTTGCACGCAAGTAGGAGTTGGGATGGGGCTGCTCCAAAAGGCAGTGTGAAGTCTCCCTTCCCAGCTGAGGGATCTCTGCCCCCTCCTGCTTGTATGGAAGTAGGAATGGGATTGGGGCTGCTCTGATGGGAAGGGAGGCATCACTCTGCCTGAGCCTCTCTGTCGCTACCGCTCTCGGCCCTCCTTCTCCGCCTTGCATGCCTGACCCACCGCGCACCACTTCCCCACCACCACCACCACAGAAGAACCAACTACTCAGGGGCTGCCCAGGTTCATGGAGAAAGGAGATAGAAGCCTCAGAGGAAGGGGAAATGTGGCGGTTGAGGTCAAGGTAGCAGCCGCCCCTCTGCCACCGCCATCACTGCAGGATCATCGTCCAAAACGCGTCGTATTTAATGAATGAATGAACGAATGAATGAATTAAAGTGTCCCCGGATTCATTGAAAAAAATCTGGTAACCTCTATCATCTATCTATCTATCTATCTATCTATCTATCTATCTATCTATCTATCTATCTATCGTATCTATCTATCTATGATCTATGCTCTATCTATCATCTATCTCTCTATCATCTATCTATCTATCATCTATCT